TTTATTTAGGAATCTTAACTAGATAGGAAACAATAAACTGAAAGAGGAAACAAGTACTGAAAATAAAAGTCCTACATTATTAAGGAAACTAGCTAGTATTGGAATATTCCTAATTAGAACTCTCCCATAAGTTGCCTTTTATGCAGTTTTTTCCTTAAAACGCCTACCATAAGCTTTCCTGAAGAAAACATCTACAACACATACATGGTAAAACAACTTAGGGAAAACCTCCATGGTTCTAGCAACCTAAAGAAATTCGTGGTAACAATGTTGTAACCAAGGTGCATGAACCTATCAAACACCCCAAAATAAACCCACTCAACAAGGGCAATTGGAGGAACTACAAAAAATGCTCCAACAAATCCTCTAAGCCACAAGAGCAACAATTGACACTGCCTCAGTAACACAAAATGTAACTCTTGTCATATTTTCAGTGCATAAAAAGGAAAACAACAACATATAGATTATGGATTCTAGAGCATGGATCATATGATAGGAAATATCTCATTTTCCATGAATACCACTTCTCATAGTAAAGTAATTATTCGGATGGAACCCTCTCGACGGTAGTTAACATAGTTAGGTCATCATCTCCAAGGATAATGCACTTCACTTTGTGCTTTATGTTCAAAGATTGGATTATAATTTACCATCCATAAGTAGGTTGATACAGGAACATATTGTGCTATTAATTTTTTCCTTCATACATAAATTTTAGGTTTGGATCCAGAGAAGACGATTTCCAATGTTGAGGTGTGTGCTAGACTATAGCTCCTAAAAGCTGATGAATCCTAAAGATAATCCATAAAGAATGCTTGTGTAATCTTTAGTGCTAGAAGTAATAATGATTGTGCTAAAAAAATGTTAGGGCATCCTAATCTTTTGTACATTGAAAAATTATTCCCTTCGCTCTTCAATAAAAACTTCCAAAACTTTTCAATGTGAAATTTATTAATTATCCAAGCATACTCGAAGCTCATATCTTATTCAGCAAAAATGCAAATATCAAGCCCAAGTCCAAGTCAACCAAACCAAATACCAGATGAAGGAGTTGCAAATTTTGCTAACTGGAGCACTGGGGATAAAAATCAACAACATTGGTGCTAATGTGATGGTAGTATTGTACGAGAGTGAATTGGTGAATGACTGTATGAAAGGAGAGAAAAAAGGGTGTCTCCTCCAATGATTTCGTCATCTGAAAGCTCGGAAAACTCTGTGCCATCAAAGGCATATTGCTAAAGAAGACGGTGCTAGACTTTAGGATCATTTCAATACCACCAAGGTTTGGGATCATTCACTTGGTGCCTTCAATATGGGTCTATGTGAAGGTTGCCTGCTCGTCACCCATGATGGTTTAGGTTGGTTTGATAATGAAGATGACAAAGAGGAAAAATCCCTTATTTTCGGATTTAGATTTAAAATAATGAATTTGTTTTTCACCTGAACCAACTTATTTGTTATAAGAATTGAAAACTTATCATGTTAGATTAAATATCATCTGAAACGTTATCATTTGACATGGACAATAATTTAATCAGAATGTAAAAATGTCCAATTTGAATCTGTGTAGTATTGTTATTAATGTGTTGATAAAAATTTTTAAAAACTACAAATGAAAAAAAATAATAAATGAACTAATTTAATATTTTAAAATAATATAGATAATATGTTGGCCAAAATAAATATGTAAGAAACATTTTGGAACTTTAGCAATATGTAAACCTAACATACTTCAATTTTATCGTTGTACTTAAAAAAATTATTGAGTTGATATTCCTTTCTCACCATTTTTCTTCAAAGAAAATAAAAAAATCTATTACTTGTGAGAAGCCATAATTTGTGCAGAAGACTGAGCTCGACCAAAATTGCATTAAATGCCAATTTCAATAGGCACAGCATATCTCTTTGAGTATCATATTTACAGATTTGCCGTTTGATGATTAACAAAATCTGCACCTAAGGAATCAAAGCAATTGAAAGAAAAGCGCGATGCCCCTTTTTCATACCAAACTCAGACCAGGGAAAATTAGTACAACCTTGAAGGCAACCTATATGTATAAGTCATCATTTTCTACTTTAATGGCGAAGAATATTCAAAACCCAAGACAAGTATAAAAGAGGGAAAAAAAAAAAGGTACAGTATCGGGATCACATTTGTAATCTTAGCCGATGTATCTAAAGACTTTGCAGGTCTCTTATCCTGCTACAAAAGTACTCTCTCTTTTTTTATTCAGCTTTATATAGCTGTGTGTGGGACTTAATGACATCAAATTTAGTGAACTTCTATGTTTCCCTGCAAGAAGAATTTATTTTTTCATAGAATAAATTTGAGAGCTTCTGTTTATATATATGCTGGTTTTTAAGTGACAACATTTTTAGAAACAAGACTTTCGATGAGACAAGATTTCATTAGCATGGCTTGTGAGACTTCAGTCATTATCCATTTCCTCTTGTTAACTCCATCAGCTGATTCGATAAATTTTTCATTCTAAATCCATTAGGGTTATGAAATATGATGCTACTGTAGACATTGGTCATTGAAGTAAAAGAAACTAGGTGTGAATATGACATTGGTCATTATAATTAAGTTTGTTAAAGTCATTTTCTTCTCTTCAAAGACATTGACGATTGGGTTGGTGTCCTAGTTTTCACATGATTTAATTATAATTATTAAATTCTTCAATAAATTTCACTGCAAAGATCAAATTGTGTGTGTGTGTGTAAATATTAGCTGTTTTTATTTGACCAGGAAGTTATGATGATATCTTGGCTTCTCATCTTTTCCCTTGGAGACTCTTAAGAAAAATACTGAAGGATTTCATATTTCAGTAATTCATATGCGTAGATATGTGCCGACAATGTCGACAATATATATTTATATTTGCATGTGCGGATACATATTTGATTATAAGAATTAATCTTTTTATACATATGTATATGGTGGTATAATACACATTTGTATGTCATGAAAAATTATTAGTTGATTGAAAAACAAATAATTTTGTAGACCCTCTAAGTACCATGATTTCATTTGAAGATTTTTATTTTTGAAACTTTCTAATAAAAATTTAGAACAAACCAATTATGTTTATAGACTTTATTAGTTCATTTATAATTTTATACTATTTAATTATTATTAACGTATATATATTAGGACATATATGATAAGATCAATGTAATACCATCAATGTTTAATTTTCATATGTTGACTGTTTTTTGAGAAGTTGCCATATGTCGAATTCACAGGATATAAAAGGATCATGGGTTTTCTACATACATACATATATATATACGTAATTCAATATTATCGATAACATATTCTCCACATACAAGAAAATTATAGTGTTTTATTAAGATTGATAGGGCTTCTTTTAGACATGTTCAGACAGCTCCTCCAATGCAGTCCAAATTAGTCTTCCTATATATATATATACACCACATTACTTAAATCTTCCTATATTTTTTTGTCTTTTGGGGATGTTACCCCAAAAATAATATTAATATAAGAAGCTGTAATTTATTTAAGGATTAAAAACTATCAAAATTATCAACAAATATGAACACGAATACACTAACTATGCACGAGATATTAATATTTCTACAGATTTAATGGGTAGAAAACATTAGTGATTTGGGATTGGTTACTAAATCAAAATGGGAGATTAGTGAATATTCTCAGTTTAGTGCGGTATTTGTAGGAATTGAGAGATACAAGAATATGAAGGCCAAAATGTAGTTATAGTGACTAATGATCAATGGGATTCTTTGTAATATGCACATATAACCGAGACAGACCCAGTTTATAAATATTTACATATCTTATTATTTAGAACAATGAGCGTTCGACAAAATTTGGATTTTGGGATGTTTCAAGGAAAACATCTGAGGATGCTAGAGAGACTCCTCAGATTTGTGGAATGTCGACAAATGGTTGCAGTCTGAACGGAATCAAAACCATGGATTAATAATTAATTAAATCAATTGGGTATAATTCTTTTATTTTATATGTTTATTTTTAAATAAAAAATTAAAATTTATCAATCACATTTCTGAAATCTTCTGAACTAATTTCTGCTTTTGAACATTTAATTTTCTCTTTTTACAATTATGAATTAATTCAGAGATACTTATTGAGATGGTAACCTAAAGTAACACGTTATAGGATTTCAAGATTAATTTAACCAGTTTAAAATTTTATTTTTAATTTAAATTTTAAGTAATTAAATATCTTTCTTAAATGAGATTTTATTTAAAATTAAAGCAATTGTTAAATATTTAGAGTACATATATATATATATATATATATATATATAATCATCTAGAAGGAAGAAAGAGTAAGGACAAGTCTTTGCAAGATCAGGAGAGTAGGTCTGGATTCCCTCATTTTTCCGGCTGTTTTTTTGTCGACTTCAAATGGCATCTTTCAAGCCTTCCAATCTACCAAATTCACACCCCAATATTAATCTCCTTTAATTGCGATAATTTTCCAAAGCACCAAATTAATATTTAATGATTCAATTGTTCAACAAATGGGTCAAGATGTTTTTTTAATCTTAAGACAGTGATCTCCTAATTGAGGGTATAAACAAAAGATAATCCTGTTCATTACTGATCCAAAACCGTAGAGAATATGTATAGAAAATAATACCCTTCTGGTCTCTCACTGGAATACATATATACATATATATACACTCTCCCGCACGCACATGTACATTATATTATACTCATTGGATGATCAGGTCCGGAAAATACAAGACTAAATATCTTCTTGTAGTGCCCTTTTGATTCTTTTCTCATGTAACGACACAAAAGGAATTTTCATGAAAATATATTCCCTCATGCCACTATTTATTCTTCTTAATTTCTTTATATACGTATATATATGTATATGTGTGTGTGGCCGACGTCCTCTAGTTAATCTTCTTCGTCTTCCTCTCTTTTTCAATTTCTTCTCTGTAGATTGGGTCTCTTCGGGGCGTGCCTATTAAACCATCAATGAGATGGAAAATCATATGGTTGCAGATCAAGATGTTGATGATGATCATGATCAGGAAGAGCTTTTGAATCTAAGTCTTGCAATCGTTACAGACCACGATCAGAAGAGAAGATCAAAGAAGAAGAGAAGGGTTGTCTTCAGCACCTCATCAGCTGCTGATCAAGAAGAAGGTAAGGTTTTCAAGCTTCTCCAAACCAGAGAACAGATGTTGAAGAAGATATTAATTGACCAGACGAGGAAACAACATGATGATCGTTACGGCGGTCTCCGCTTGATCCGTTTGCTTCTCCTAACCGCCACCGCCGTCGACGAGAACAATGCTGACTCAGTCATGCGCAACCTCACCGAGCTCTACCAGGCCGTGTCTCTGACGGGCGACTCAGTGCAGAGAGTCGTCGCTTACTTCTCCGATGGCTTGGCGGCCAGGCTGCTAACCAGAAAATCTCCCTTCTACGACATGATTCTCAAGGACCCCACAAGCGAAGAACAGTTCTTGTCCTTCACTTACCTTTACCGAGCTTCCCCCTATTACCAGTTCGCTCATTTCACTGCAAATCAAGCCATTTTTGAAGCGTTCAACAAGGAACAAGACGACAACAACCGAGCTCTGCATGTTATCGACTTAGATGTTTCCTATGGGTTTCAATGGCCGTCTCTCATCCAATCTTTATCGGAAAAAGCCACCAGCGCCAACAAAATCTATTTAAGAATCACAGGCTTTGGAAGATCCATTGAAGAGCTTCAAGAAACCGAGACCAGACTAGTAAGCTTTTCAAAGGGCTTTCACAACTTGGTCTTTGAATTCCGTGGCCTGTTAACATCTCCATCGTCGCCCTTCCAAACTCCTCGGTCTAAAAAGAAAGAGAAGTGAAACAGTAGCTGTCAACTTAGTTTTCCATCTCAACACGTTGGATTCTTCTATGAAGATATCTGACACGTTAAGATCAGTCCGGTCTCTTCACCCCTCCATTGTCACTTTGGTGGAGCACGAATCGTGCAGCCGGTCTACTCCAAGAAGCTTCCTGTCCCTATTCATGGAGTCTTTGCAATACTTTGCAGCCATGTTCGATTCTTTAGAAGATTGTCTGCCATTGGAAAGTGCGGAGAGGTTGAGCATAGAGAAGAACCATCTTGGTAAAGAGATCAAGAGCATGCTCAACTATGGAGATGATCATCATCATGAGAAGATAGAGACATGGAAGGGGAGGATGGAGAGCCATGGGTTTTCAGGGGTTGAGGTAAGCTCAAGGTCTATGATGCAGGCAAAACTGCTGTTGAAGATGAGGACCCATTATTGTCCTCTGCAATTTGGTGGAGAAAATAATTACATAAATGGCGGTGGGTTCAGGGTTTTTGGGAGAGATGAAGGGAAGGCCATTTCTTTAGGTTGGCAAGGTAGATGTTTGCTCACAGCCTCTGCATGGCGTTGTGTATGAGAATCATGACACTGCACTAGATGTACGTAGTTGCTCTTCTAACACATTCGTGACTTTTGTTATTTCATTCAAATAAATTTAATAAATATGTTCAAATTATATGCAGATATATGTATATGTGTATATATATATATATATCTCAATTTGCTAATCTAATTATTGTTATTTATATATTCCAATCTCTCTATTTGCACCTCCTAGTAGTGAATCAGTTAAGAAATTTCTTTATCTGTTAGAGAGAAGCTCTCAATAATAAGGGACCTATCTTTAGATACCCCTACTCATATAATCATTAATAAGGTACATTGTTAATCTAGGTTATCAAATCTAAGGAGTGTGACCGAGTTTATAATCACCTGTATATTTATTGGCAAGTATTGAAGTGATCATTAGAAAATGAGTTTATTAAATTAACTTGATTATGACTTTTGTGCCGAGGTTTAAGTAGAAGTCCTACAAAACAGTTGTACAGAATAGTTCTTGGACTCGAGTCACCATATATAAATCTCTCTCATAAGCCATGTAAAGATGACCTTTAGGTATGTTTTGAAGCTTTTGAAGGTTTATATGTAACTATAAAGTATTCATCACTCTGGGTAAAAAACTATTTCTCCCATATGATTAGGGTTGAAAAAAATTCTGTTTAAACTAAATAATTAGTTCAGTTTATACTAAACCAAACCAGTAAAACCTATTTTTCGCTTTAATAGATTAGAGACTAAACTATGAATTCATTATGATTTGGTTCCAATTAAAAAAAAAAAAAGAGGAGAGAAAGAGAAAAAGAAAGAATGATATTTTTAATTTTTATATTAAAAGTTTTATTCTTAACAATTAAGAGAAAAGAAATATATATTACATGTGTATGTCATATTAGCACCAAAATACCAACTAAGTTATCACGTCATCAAAAGTAATTATTTAAAAAATAAAATAAACTATGTAACCAATAAAATAGAAAATATAATACTCGAGTCTGAAATTTGTTTCGAAATTAATTTTAAAATTAAAAATAATTTTGAAAAAAATTAGTGAAAATTTAGGTTTATGGGGTATTTTTGAAAGAAAAATCAGAAATTGAGGGTCAAAACATAATTTTAAAAAAATGTACAACGTAGGACTGCCTATTTAACAGTCTCGACGAACCAGAGCACGCCGCATGGCAAGGCACGCTTACTCGACACCACGTGGGAGGTCACACTGACAATCCGCGTACCCGCGATTGGAAGATCCGGATGCGTTTTCGCGCCCGTGGACAGTCAGAATCTGTTTCCTCCTCATGTGCGATCAGACAGTCGCGATTAAACGTGATAAATGGTCCATATTCGTTCTATCTTTAAACGCGATTATACGGTCGAGATAAAATTACGATGAACAGTCCAAATTCATTTTCTCTTTAAACGCGATTGGATGGTCGAGATCAAACGCAATGAATAAGCCAGATTTAAGTGAGACTGGTATAAATATCTCACTTCACATCGAACTCAAACCCTAGCCGCCAGCCCCCCGCCAAAGAAGAAGAACCAGTCGCTGGAGAAGGGAGCCGACCGCCGACCACTGCCGTGTTGGAGCCACCTCTAACCGCCAAAAAAGATAAAAATTCTCTTATTCGCTCGAAATTTGATTTTGACTATCCCTATGACCAAATTGAAGGAAAAAGAACGGTTGATGAGCCGAAAATCGCGAGTAAAGCTCGGCAACGTCACCGCGAGAAAAATAAAAAATCGCCTCCAATGAGCCCCTTCCCGTTTCCCTTTTCGTGCGATTTTTTCACCATTGTATTCACCATTATGTTTTCTACAGGTTGACTAAAGAAAAATGCCCAGCGTAAAGGTAAGCTGGCGGAGCCGCCACACCGAAAAATTTCGCTGCCAGTAAGTTTTTATTTTCTGACTTTTTTTCAGCCAACCGATGTCCTTTAACGTGTTTTCTCGCAGGGATGGGTATAAAATCGGCCGAAACAAGCCAAAACTGGCCAAAAACGGCTAGTCTGAGGCAAACCATCCCCGTAGGCAACGATGCCGCCGTGCCGGAGTTTCGAAATTGACCAAAAAGATTTTTAACGCCGATTTTGAATTTTTTGTGGTATTTCTATGTACATGAAGCGTGTTTTAATCTCCACTGAAAAATTCAAAAAATCCGAGGACTGTCAGTAGGCGCAGTAGGAAGTTCAGTATTTCGGATACAAATTTGAGTAAAAATCTCTCACTTTATTCCCTGTTATAGAATTGAAGTCTAATTATAAATAATACGATATTTTGTGTAATTTAAAAAATTTTTATTATTAATTGCAAGTTACTAATGGAGGCAAAACTGATTATTTATTACTGTTTGTCTTATTTTAACTTATTGTTTGATTTTATAGTTTTAAATGCATGATAATACACTGGAATTTGTAAGATGATTCAATTGTGTTTCCTTGATGCATGTATTGCTTGTCTTGTGTGATTTACAGTTAAATTATGAAATTAAAAATTAAATATAAATGGAAAATTATTTGGTTAAATGAATGAATGAAACAGTTGTTTTACTGGATATCCTGAGAGATGGTGGACGGATCGGGTACATAAGGAATCCTACTGTGAACGTCACCTCATACCGGACGAGCTATCAAGAATTAGTATTTTGGCGCTCATACCAGACGAGGTATGGGGACGACCCATTTCATTCTTACACCGGACAAGGTATTGAAGGATGGTTTTCTTAGTGCTCATACCAGACGGGGTATGAGAACGACTGGTTAGTTGATAAGTTTTATTATGGGTTCACGCGTGGTGGGACATCCCTATGGACCCACAGGAATATCAGTAAGCAAATAAGAAGAGAAAGTTATTGTTCTGACTAATTGAATTTGAGATTATGATGTTGTTTGTGTTATTGCCTCTATAGGTCGGTTTTAAAAATCTCACTACGGTAAGTATGCAATAAATGATTTTATTTATGATAAATGAATTTACTAAACTTAATAGTTCTATTAGTTATTTTTATGATTTTTATTAACCTTCTATATCGGTGAGTAATGTGATATTCTTACTGTTCTAGTGTGTCTCACCCTATCATTAACCATTTCAAATCAAGAGGACCAAGATCCAGATCCTGATCAACAAGGGGGTTATGAACAGTTGACCACCTGAACTCCCTTCAAAGACTAGTGAAGGTCGTCCTAGGATATCTAATTGTTTATTTTTCATTTATTTCTTTGATTTTTCACTTGTTCTTTTAGAAGGGTCATTCCCGTATTCATATTGGGTATTCTTAATTATTGTATAAGAAATGTATACCATAACTCTATTATTTCGCTTCCGCATTCAATTTATGTCTTTATCTCCTTTTAAAGTTTTGGTTCGTTACAGTTGGTATCAGATCCGCGTTCCTCGGAACCATTCCTTACACAAAAACTTAAAAATACCAAATACGAACTATCACCCAACCTTTCCTTATTAAAAATAAGTACAAAGACAGAGAAGATGAGGCCCCTTACTAAACAGGGCAACCTGATACGGGTCGCTTCGAGAGGATGTCGATTAACTCTTGAAGATTTTAGAGAGACTCATATTTGTCAAGTAAGCTAAGGAAGAGATAAGGGAACTGTCTGACCCTCCATCACTTCCACAATATGAGTCATCCCTACAACGAGAGGATCTAATGCCGCCTCAATGCAACCCTGCTCCTTCGTCGTATCATCCAATACCATCACAATACAATTTGAAGCCCCCATCGTATCATCCGGCATTGTTACAGGGCCACTCGATCCCTCCCCAATAACATCTGGTCCCTCTTCCATGAGACTCGGTTTCACCCATGATGGACCCGATAGAAATTGACACAAGGGACCCCGATATATTTTTAAAAATGAACTGGTTAGTAACATATCACATCACTGTGAATTTTTTTCGCGAGAAAAATTGTATTTAAGCCTCCTAACGAAGAGTCATTTAAAAACTAATAAAGGTTTTGAATATTATTCCCTTATAGCAATTTTCTTATTACATAGTGTTTTAACTCGGTTGTTTTCTCTAACTAGGCAAACTTAAGAAAGAAATTTGCATTCAAGAAATTCTGGTAGTATGAGACTTTCTGAACGTGTTTCCTAATGAACTTTACAGACCACCAGTGGATAGGAAAGTTGAGTTCACCATAAACTGTCAGCCTGACATACAACCAATCTTAGTTTTTCTTTACTGCATGAGTCATGTAGATATGGAAAAGTTGAGAAAACAGATCAATGAATTGTATAATAGTGGATTCATCCGATATAGTGTGTCTCTTTGGGGTGTTGGAGTCACATTTGTAAGGAAGGGGGGATGAGACGTTAAGGTTATCATGATCAAGAACAAGTACCCTCTCCCCATGATCGATGACCTTTTTGATAAGTTGTTGGGTGCCCAAGTCTTCTCTAAAATAGATCTGCGTTCAGGTTACCATCAGGTAAAGATCAAGGCAGAAAACATTCCTAAAACAGTTTTTCAAAGGCAGAAAATATTCCTAAAACAGTTTTCTAAACTATGTACGGACACTATGAGTTCCTGGTTGTGCTATTTGGACTAACCAACGTGCCAGTCATCTTCATGGATTCGATAAATAGGATTTTTAGATAATTTTTGGATCAGTTCGTCATTGTTTTTATTAAAGATATCCTGGTCTATTCAAAAAGAAGAGAGAAATACACTCACCATCTGAATCAAGTTTTGCAGGTTCTTAGAGAAAAGAAGTTGTATGCAAAGTTGAGTAAGTGTGGGTTTTGCCTCGAGCAGACTACCTTCATAGAGCACATCATATTAAGAGATGCAGTGTCAGTGAACCCCGAAAAAGTTGAAGTAGTGCTCGATTAGAAAAACTTAACCTTGGTCAAGGAAATTTGTAGCTTTCTGGGGATGTCAGGTTATTACCGCATGTTTGTGGAATGATTTCTATCCTAGCTGCTTCTCTAACTCGGCAAACAAAGAAAAATGTCAAGTTTGAGTGGAACGAGAATTGTGAAAGGAGTTCTTCAGAAATAA